ACCCTCACACACACACCCTCACACACACACACTCACACTCACACACATACACCCACCCTCACACACTCACACTCACATACACACAAACACCAACCCTCACACACACACACACGCACACACACACACTCACAAACACTCACACACATACACACACACACACACACACAAACACACACACACTCACTCACACACACTCACCATCACATACACACACACACACATAATAAAACTGCATACATTTTGTCGATATAGTTCTCTAGAAAACTTTTTGGAGGAATTTCACTAAGCAAACAATTAAATTAAATCAAATTGAAATCCTCACATCGATTAAACTGAGTGTTTTAAAGTAAAACTTTTAGTGTGACAATGATGTTGTTTTCTACGGTAGTCAGTAGGAATCAAGTTTTTATGTTTCAGATATTACGGTGATTTGTCTCGTTCTAAGTTGGGCTCTCAGCGCGGCTTCCTTCTGTATCTTCATATTAAGAGGTAAGTAATTTCTAATAATTTGTTTTCAAATTCTGTGATAAATATAGGTTTACATTTACGATGATAAATAGCGGGTTATTTTCGTTAACATTAGGCAAGGGCAGGTTTGTTTATGTTGAAACTACATGCTTATTTTGAGGATAGACTTATGTTTTGGATCGTCTTGGTTTTGAGATTTTAGGTTATCTAATAGCATTATCAATACCTGTTTTTTCTGTCAATGGAAAACAGCATATCTTCTATACACATGACAGTACTAGTGGAATATAAGTTGTTCCCTTGTGTATCCAACAAGATGTTAGAAGAAAAATATTGCCGACTTATATATCATCAGCTGATTGTCCAGTCCATTGGATTCTCTATCATTAATACACGATTTAAGGAACCTAAGATAATTTAATAGGATTTCTTAAATTTCAAACATATTGGACACAATTTATGGTTTGAGTAGTTAGTCATTCGCTTAATATGTAATTTTCATTCCCTTTTATTATCACAGAGAAGGAAAATGAAAGAAAAGGTACCTCTGAAGGTAGGTTAAATTGGTTTATCAAATTGATATAAACTTCTATCTCGTTATCAGTATGTGGAAACGAAATGAAAGACAGTGTAAAAGAACGATAGCCCACCGTCGATATTTCATACTGGAAAATTTCATGATGCTTCGTCTTTTGTTAAAAAGATATATTTTCACTCAGTGTTCGCGAGATATTTGAAAATGACAAATAATGAATAATAAAGAGGGGTTTTAGAAATTTGTTAAATTCATAGCTGTATACAGTACTACAAATAAATATCTATATTTTCAAATTTTTACCTATTTGCATAGAACTGACTCGGGTATCCTCTGGAGGTGAAACCCAATCCTCTGACAACAGAGAACATGATGACTCAATCGCGGATGATTAGCCGAAGAGATTTTAAGGAGCCAGTGGAACTATTATACGCATTGGCCCGTTGTATATATCTGATATGATATAAAACTATACTATGAGGCATGTAGAATATGCCTAGATCTCGATGTGATATCATAATATACCATAATATCTATAAAAACTTTATTCCACGTATATCATTACACCGTTGAATTTTTTCACAAACGAGTCATATTCTGCATTTTCATCTTTGTATTTGATTTATGTGTTCTCCTATTGTGAATTGTTCTGAATATCATTAAATTCACAAAAGGTATTTTGCATTACTTGGTATTATAAATACATTTGATGAACTTATTTCTACTTTCAAACTGGAATAAACTCATTGAAATTTATGTTATAAAGGCGTATGTCTAATATTATCAAGCAAAAACTGCACAAATATTGAAATTATGATGCAACACTTACATTTCACATTTTGTGGTTAAGTAAAGTTTTCAGTAAAAATAAAAAATTATGATTTCATATCTCTTAAAAACAAACCATATGTTTGGACTTTAATATATAAATATATATTATGACTTATCAGTGGTCGAATAAAGGTGTATACTATTAAGTAATTAAATTATGTTACGAACTGAAATTGAACAATACCATCTATATAGAATACCTATGAAATGTATTTGGTTTGGAAAATTCCACGAGACTTCTGTTTTCATTATATGTGCTATTTACTCTCATAAGATTGTATAGGAAATTTTGGTACAGCTGTTAAACACTAATGCATGCTATCTGTTTTAGTATATAAATATTTAATGCTAGTCTGTAAGAAAAGAGTTAAAAATAAATCCTTTCAAACCAACATTCGAAGACTTTCTTGTGACTAATTGTATGCTACATGTATTTAAATTGTTGAATGCAAATGTACCTCCACTATACGTGGTTACATTAATGTTGAAAATTGAACCGTTTGTCATCAATACGTTGTTTCATTCTGGATACCTGATGCATCAGGAAATACAGGTATGTTGAAATAAGAAATATTTAAACATTTCCAAGGTCACAATTGTGAAATCATATGTTGCTTTGCTTTCAATTTACATTCCTCATTGTGCCAAAACTTGTGCACTTTGCTAAATTTGATACATACATTTCCTATACATTGATTGTCCAAATGCCTCAGATAAATAATGGAATCATGAAAACAGTACTTATAGAAGTTTGAATTTCTGACGGTGTTATTCGATAGCATATAAAAAGTATTGTGGTCATCATATCTTGGAAAAACAACAAGAAAATACCAACATAGAAATCATACTACTAACTCGAATTCAATAAAACTAGGAAAAAGATTTACACGGAAAAATCTGCACGAGTACAAAGAGAATAAGACCATTGTTCTGTTGATCGATGGCATTTAAATCCAAGAACGTAATGTCACGTTCTCGAAAAAATGTGAATGTAAATGTTTCAGGCAAAATTGTGTCTTAGTACCAATTCTTTAAGAAATATAGTACAGTCAGGTCAAATGTAATAATTATCTTGATTTACCTCATCTGTGTTTAGTGCTACAGACGAGTCTTACAAATAAGTAATAAGATACAAGAGAGTCTTTTATGATAACACTACATCATCCAGCTTTTTGTGCTCGGACTCGTCAGTGATGCTACATCATACAGCTGTTACGTCCCTCTAGGACTAGTCAGTGATGCTACATCATCCAGCTGTTTCGTCCTTCTATGACACGTCAGTGATGCTACATCATACAGCTGTTTCGTCCTTCTATGACACGTCAGTGATGTTACATCATACAGCTGTTACGTCACTCTAGGACTCGTCGGTGATGCTACATCATACAACTGTTTCGTCCCTCTAGGACTCGTCAGTGATGCTACATCATCCAGCTGTTTCGTGCTAGGACTCGTCAGTGATGCTACATCATACAACTGTTACGTTACTCTAGGACTCGTCAGTGATGCTACATCATACAACTGTTACGTCACTCTAGGACTCGTCAGTGATGCTACATCATACAACTGTTTCGTCCCTCTAGGACTCGTCAGTGATGCTACATCATGCAGCTGTTTCGTCCCTCTAGGACTCGTCGGTGATGCTACATCATACAGCTGTTTTGTCCCTCTAAAACTCGTCGGTGATGCTACATCATACAGCTGTTTCGTCCCTCTAAGACTCGTCGGTGATGCTACATCATACAACTCTTAAGTCCTAAGACTAGTCAGCGATGCTACATCGTACAACTGTTAAGTCCTAGGACTAGTCAGTGATGCTACATCGTACAACTGTTAAGTCCTAGGACAAGTCAGTGATGCTACATCGTACAACTGTTAAGTCCTAGGACAAGTCAGTGATGCTACATCGTACAACTGTTAAGTCCTAGGACAAGTCAGTGATGCTACATCGTACAACTGTTAAGTCCTAGGACAAGTCAGTGATGCTACATCGTACAACTGTTAAGTCCTAGGACTAGTCCGCGATGCTACATCGTACAGCTGTTTCGTTCTAGGACTCGGTATTAGTGCTAGTTACCTAAATTTTGGCACGGAGGAGGCAAACGAGGAAATTCATTTGTATTTAAAAGCACTATTCTCATATTTCTTTAGTACAATTCTTTGTAGCTAGTAAATGAGGACACTTTTTAACGTGTGAAAGAGATATCTAACCTATCTTACAACGTAAATATTCTATTTCTTTTGCTTCATTTAAGCTAATTATTTCTGCAATGCGTGCACTTTAAGCAAAGATAGGGTTTTGCTGTAGCTATTCCATAAACGTCTGGTAAATTGCCCATTCCAGTACTTTTGTATGTAGATTTTCGTACTTTTAAGAAGTTATACACCGCTTTTCTGTTGTATATCAAACTTATATTAAGATTTGTATATAAGTAAGTTGATATTATGTTTTTTCATTAGACGCTATTGTTATTTTGCCATGCCAGTTGTCGTTATTTCCAGGTCAACAAAGACACATTCATCTGTCTCTGATGATCTCTGATGATGTGGCGCAATCATATTCAATATTGATAGAATAATAAACATGTTATTCACTATTTACTTTGCAATGATGCATGTTTCTGAACCAGAAATCATGACCTCGTTTCAAATGTTAATAAAGTTTGATAAAGGTATTATGTGTTTTGTATTGTAGTAAATACCAAAAGGTATCCACTCAATTTATTGCTAACTTCTTCCAATTACAGTCTCTATTTCAAGGGCTTTTCATCCCATTTAAACAGTAAAACTCGACAGAAAATTAATACCATTTTATCGCCATTTTTATGGATGACACAGTATATTTATGTTTGAAAATAATACCAACCGTGAAAAACACTGACATTTCCTGTTCATTTTATAAACTAAGACACTGAAAGACACCATACACCTATTTAACATGATATGGGTACCATGGTTTTTAATAGGCTTTAGAAACTAAATAACTCATAACTCATGAAAATATATGACTGATTTTTTTATTTCTAATCTAAATTACATTACTTCACCGAAAATACAATTTTCTTTATGGATGTGATCACATGTAAATCACTCTTCATCTCACATGTCTACAGAGGGTTAAACCAATTGTGAACGGGGTCACTTCACGTCTTTGCCATCCAAAAGTTTACTTCCGGTCCTGCGTAGAACCAGAAATATGCTGGCATTGGGTATCCGGCGGTTCTATGTAAGGATGAGCTGCAGAGTTGTCCTTGCTAGTCGTATTTGCCTGTGTTAAATTAATCTTTTTTGTATCATTCAACATCTTCGGCAATACAAGAGTCGAAGTATATGCAAACAAATGCAAATGTTTACCTTTTCGGAGATTTGATAACATTTTTGTGCTAAAAGCACAAAATACACAACATTTTTGTCTCGATAAAGCATCACGGATGCAGTCTCTGTTGCTTTAACACTACTGATTATGTACTATATGATTAAAACTAAGTCGACGATGACAAATGTATATTATAAAATCAATTCACAATGCACCAATATCAAAGCCTTCGGACAAAAGCTTAGTTTTCAGTTTTAGATGTGATTGTGTTTACATATTGTTTCGTAGTTTTGTACATTTAAAAAAACTGAATCTAACCACAATTACATAAATCATATCGTTATAAGGATATCTAATTTGGCCCAACTTACTCGAACATTGATAACAATTCTTCAAGTAAAATATGATTGGGTTCACCTTGCACGAATATTGTCAATGATCCTTTAAACAAAATGTATTGGGCTTCACCTGACCACCACATTTAAGTAAACAGGGTTGATTTTACATTCTGCAACTAGTTATCGTCCTTAAGGTAAATAGAAATGGTCATTTAAAGAAAATTGACTTGGCTCACCTTACACGAATATTGTAAATGCTCCTTTGATGCATATTTCTTACCATGAAAGCATATGTGTCTCCAAAGGTATGCTGATAATACAATGAATTTTCAACAGCTGACCGGAACTTGGCTCTTACTGCAGGGTCTGCCCAGTCCCAGGACTTCACTTGAGAGTATATGTGTGCAACGTCATTTGTGATTGTGTTGTATAAGGGAAAACTCGAGCAATAATCAATGGGCATGCGTGGATAGTAAAGAATGAACGCCTCGCACATCTCATCATGTGTAGAAAGTCCTCCCTTTAACATGATATACAAGTTATCGACTACTTTATCAAGACATAAATAATAACATTTACCAAACCGATACACTTTGCTGTTGCAAACATTAAAATACGTTAAATACTGGCAAAAAGTGGTGTCATATTGCTGTTGTTGCTTATGGAGAATTTAATGACATGTTTTACTGCACTTGAAAAAAAAATAAACCAAATTTATTTTCAAATGATATCTTATCATTAAATTCAAACGAACTATCCATTGAAAACGCATTCATTTTAAAAACATTTCATTTTTACGACTGAAAAAGTGACGAAAATAGTCTTACTTCCTCGTAACCTTTCTAAGTTGTAAAGTAAAGTAGATACCAAGTTTTACAAAAGTATAATTTTACTGAACGTTATTAAATAACATGACCTGATTGGAGTACAGATCATCATTATACAGTATCCTATGAAGCTCTGACGCTGGCCAGTAAGGGGTAACGTTCAGATGACCTGCATTTTTCGGGCAATGAAAACCCGTCTATCATACGCTTGTTTGGCAGCGTGTACAACTCTGAGGAACCGATTGAACATTCAGAGGCTATGTTGAAAATATTTTAAGGCTCACTTCATTTACTTTTGAAATAGTGAAAAAAACAGCAAATGAGATTCATATACAACGCATACTCCATCCACTAAGTACACCTTTTTGGTTCAAAGGCGGTTTAGGACGCAGTTATCTTGTAATGGCTGAGATGTTATTATCATGATTTCAGTTAAAAGTTCAATATTATAAATAAATCCACGTCTTTTCAATATCCTATCTTGTTTCTGGAGTTTTGTTTTGTTTTTGTGCTTGTTAGAGATTTATAGATATAATATGGAACGGAAACAAATGGAAAATGCAGCCCACCACATTAGTTAGATACGTTTGCAAACGTTTGTGAAAATAGCATTTTATTAAACTGATAAAACTCTTAATTGACATCACAATACATACAGATGTATGACTTTATAGAGTTTAATGTCACATTAAATAGGGAAATATTACCCAATCATTTCTCCCCTGACAAAATATATGTAATTTGTCATGTGATTACACTATATACCATAATATATAACATATAGTTCGTCAGTACATTACATTGGCCTCTTAATGCGTCACTTACCAATGTAATATTTCTTTTGTGGCTCGAATCGTAAACACAGTTTAGCTCTAGGGTGTCAGTCTAAAAACAGAAAAGAACAAACATCCAAGCACCAAAACAGATATTCCATGTTCTTGTTTTTTTTTTTTTTTTGTTTTTTTTTTTTTTTTTTTTTTGTCAACGCTTTACTAGTATCAATATTCAATTCCACTCATTTGAGTAAACATTCTATAAGTTTTCATATTACATTTTGAATGCCGTTTATATTAAAATTTCATATTTTTGTTATAATGATAAAGTGAATCTAATAATAAATTTCATTATTTTTTTTATTTTATTATTGCCAATATGTTTTACTTTTGATAAAGCTTCAGTTTTATCTAAACTGCATCCCAAACAACAAGACGAAGGAGGGAACATACAAATCTCAGCGATCGATATATGTTACTTTACTTTAGCTGTCTTCGTCTATTTAAAGGTTCATTCGCGTCAGTTTAACCGATCTTAAATTTCTGCATGTTACGTTTCATCTCATTTGAATAGTGGCATGATTCAGAATATACGTTTGACCCATTGACGTTTTCTAAAATTATCTTATAAAAAACATAAATACATTTAGTCGTTGCCTATGAATTTTCCTCAGCTGTCTCCTACGCTACGAAATTTGGGTTCTTAGCATACCTTACGAGTCCTAGAAGGATGAAACAGATGTATGGTGCAATTTAATTCATTGTTTGGCTCTATGTATCTAACTCATCATTTGTATTAAACGATGTACAATCTTTTATAAAGGATACTTGTGGATATGTCCTTCAATGCAATGAATTCGTAAGAATTGTCACCTCATAATAAGGAAAGATTTTAAAACTTATCAGTAAAGATCATAACAAAAATCAAAATGTTAAACAGTCAACTACCGGATATATCGTTCTCTCTTCTGAAAGGTAGCGCATGTCTTGATAATTAAAATCATAATGTTTATCCACCGCCAGAGGTTTGAGTTCGCTTCCATTTCGATAGAGACGTGTCGCCATTTCTTTGCCGAGTAGATGGGAGTGCTGGAGAATCGCAAACGCCTTTATGCCCTCTGCTGGTATTGCCTGAAATCGAAATAGATTTATTCTTATTATATCAAGAGGAATCGTATGTAAATTGACGTTTTAGTTTTTTTTATCAGAAATTTTCTGATTGTGTGAGTATATAGAGAAGGACTAATATTTGTACGCAAAATGCAGCTTTTTTCTTTTTTTTCTTTTCAATTCTCGATGAGAAAAACCGTCTAGTCTCGCCCACTTGATAAGGCTTGGAGGAATTAATGGCAACACGCCATCTATGTAAGAATATATTTAATAAAACTGAAGTAATACGTGTGTCTGTTCTGAAAGGAATCATGTCATCGGTGAGTATTTTCATTGATATTGTAGCCTCATTATGATTCTCTGTTCAAATTAATGAAATACTTCAGATGCATAACTCAGTCAGTTCAGCACAATTGTCGTTCATCAAATTTAACCTAAGCATTGGCTGTATGATATATAAATATCAATAAATATGCATACCTTCTCGAGGAGTTTCGAAGAACAGATCACTTTGGATAGGAAGTCGGTTTCCATTGGAGGAATGACATGCATTGAACTCACAGACATACCAAAAAGAAAAAGTCCGGCGTCATGTGTTCGGAGTGTCGGTGTCATAGTGATCCGGATTCCAGAACTGTCCACAATGTCTGATTGATGAAGATTTAATTAGTGTCGTAATGATCTCATTAGGAAATATTTCTTTTTTGTGATATGAACCTGACCGTGACCTTCTTAGTTTGCCTGACGGTTCTGTTGTTGTTTTCCCAATTCCAGGATGGCAACTTAACATTAAGTAATTGAATTGACCAACGTTTATATGGCGTGTTTTCGATTAAGAAGAATACGCTTACCAATCGAGGCTTTAATCATTGGTGTCATTTTTTCACTTCTCAAGGGTTTCAATGCCAATGTTTTGTTTGTTCCTATTTGTCCTAGGTTTCTACTTTGAATCTGCTAGATGTAATCATGATCTTCGAAACGGATTTGCAATCTGATCAATTGGCTGTAACGGCCTATAGCAGAGTAAACGATCCCCAGGGTACACATGGTCTTGAGATGAAACATGGGGAAGTCGACCTGTATAGAAAATAACTAGGTTCATACCTGATCTTGCCAAGGGATTATCGTAGTGTGTTTCCATGATAAAGAAATCGGGGTCGGCATCTGTTCCGAGTGAGAACCCGACGTCTGGCGGATAATAAAATGTCTATAAACAGAAAAAATGTTTCAGTACAAAATAGAATAGTTGTTTTAGATAATGCAGCATAGAAATAATAACTACTTATTGCCAAAAATGTGTCGAAATAGGTCGATAACTACAATTACAAAGGTTCACATTTTTTTTTTATTTATTTACAAAATTATTTTCTCTTTTAAGTACAAAAATGTCAACTGATTAGAGTGAATGAAATCAAGGATAGATCAGCGTTTCATCAGAAATCAGTTCACTCCTTTCACGTATTCACATCATTGTGTGCACCAGAAATCAGTTCAGTCATTCCACGTATTCACATCATTGTGTGCACCAGAAATCAGTTCAGTCATTCCACGTATTCACATCATTGTGTGCACCAGAAATCAGTTCAGTCATTCCACGTATTCACATCATTGTGTGTATCAGAAATCAGTTCACTACTTCTATGTATTCAAATCATGGCTTTGAATAAACACATTAAACATTACACTCCGGGTCAACACTTGACTGCCCTCTGTTACTTTGCCCGCTCCGTAAGGCATTTTACATAGGATCACCTTTTGAGAGCTGTCTGTTATACCTCTGGACGCCAAACATGCATTAGTGTAAGGTAATGGGGTTCAAGTTCATTGTCTAAGGACACAACCACGACAGACAAGGAAGATTCAGAATCAAACAGGTTAAGTACTTAATATGACTTCTTTCCTTTCCAGATTCAGTGATTGATCTGTACGTGCATTTCCAGGTATACAACCCATTTGATTACAACTTGTATTGTTATACATATTTTTGCACTTTGTTCTAAAATTATCTGATATAAAAAAATATCATAATCCATTCAATTATAAAGCTACTGCACCTCCCCGTCTACATTTTGATTTTTCCCGATCACTTTGGATTTTCTCAGTTTCCTCGTAGACTTCGACATTTACATCCTTAGCATCACTGATGAGTCCTATAATGATGAAACAGCTGTGTGATGCGGTTTAACTCATTCTTAAGCTCTACTGTTGCAGCCTCTCAATATGTTATAAAAGGTGTTATTCTCTGAGTGAATTTTTGCACTATCTTTGAGATAGCAGGTATTAGACACTGCTCGCGACTGTAAGTCCTCACGATTCGCCATTACATGTATGCCACGTTTTAATTCAATCGAATAGTGGCACGGATCAGAATATATATGTGTTCTTGAAGCTGTTCTAAAATTATCATATATGAAATTTGCTATATTTATTAAAATATGAGGCTACTGCCCGTCTTCCCATCTTAATTTTGCTTTTTCTTTCGATCACTTTCGATTTTCCTCAGGCTTTAAGCTTTAGGTCCTTATAATCACTGCCTTTGAATGACGAAACAACTGTATAATGTTTAATTCATTTTCTACCTCATAATTTGTATGAAACAATGTACAATCTTTGATAATTGTATCAAAATTCGTTTGTGCCTTTTGTATAATCTTTCTAGAGTTTGTCCCATCTCTCATTAATATTTACCTTTCCTCCGACGGCCCAGGCTATGAAAGACATTATCATGCAATCGGCCACTTCTTTTGGCGTATTGGTATAATTGTCGCACCGGAATTCGTAATGATTTAAAACGTGCTTAGGACATCTAAAGATGACCATATGATGTACGTTTAGTTCATTCCCAGGTGTTATGATTGGCTCGTACTGCAAAAGGTCATATAATTAACATAGGTTTTATCACCGGTATATTTGGATACAAATTGGGGTCAATTTTTCAAAAACAATTATCTGTTAAAAAACAAATAAAAAAACGGAGCAATAAATTCGTTTCCCTTATATGTATTACTAAATGTTATTTGTATCTGATATTATAAAAAATTAGTATGTACCATATCCATTCTGATATTCAATCCAATTTTATATTGGTTGTTTACCATTCAATCTAATTTCTGTATTCAGTTATATTTCTAATTATTTTATATCTTTAAAGTGAATATCTCAAAAATTATGTAATGCATATATTAAGAATATAACAAAATCTGAATCAACCTTGATCATGTGATGTTTTGAGCCAAGGGCAGGTAACTGGAAGGTTTTGCATGCGTACGTGGTGGTGTCAGATGGAACGTGATACTATGGAAACAGGATAAAAGAATAGATTAAAAAAATTATTGAATCTTTATAATGCAGGAAAGAATTCGATACTGAAATCTAATTTGGAATTGGTATACAGAATAGCTTCGCATAATCCAATACAAACATGCATCTATCCTGCAGATGTTGGCAATTTGATGTCAGTTAAAACAACAAGAACATACCAACATTTCAACATAATCATAACCCAGGCTCGTGTTCAACCTGTATTATTGTATAAAAAAAAACTAGGACAAAATATGAACAAAAGAAAAACCTACACGGAGACGTCATTGTTACGTCACGTCCGTGAATGTTTGGCTCCATTACACAATGTTATTTGACATGCGTAATACGCAAGAATTTAAATGTTATATCTCTGAATTCATTGTTTTGTTTTCACTTTGCTGTTGGAACGAAGTATGATATTAAATAACAGATAAAAATTGTCAAACATTTATCCATAAAATCCACTAGTAATGCCGTCAAGAAAGCTTTATCAACCATGAAAAAAACTCTTCCTTCCCATCACATACTTCGCTAAAAGTGGAAGGCTTTCCTAAGCTGTTGATGGAAAGTATGACAATATAACCCAAATCAAATAACACAGTGTAAAAAAGGTAGCTGACATTGTCAATAGAACATTTAAAAGAGAAAACTGTAATCTTACATTGTCAGCAAGGAAATCAAACGTGACTATGTCGCTGGGTAGTTGGACATCATCAGCTGTCAGTGAGGACGACAACAACATGACGCTCTTTGCTCCCCTCCTTGTGGCACCATGGTACGGTATACCACTCGTCACGTCATCAGGATGGTAGGAGAAGATAACTCGCGTTGTGTCCGCCTAAAATACAGAATTTGCTCCATATATTTGTTTTAGTTGACTACGTTAAACAAACACAGATATCATTCGAATTCGTAAGGACATGCCTTCTTTGTAAGCTCCTGATCTGGAAGTCAGTTGCGATAAATAATTTCTTATTTCAAAAATATTAAAACGATCAACTAATAACTATAAAGAATAAAAAAATGGTTGTAAAAATGGACAACTTATTTATTGAATGAAGATTAATTGTAGATATATTACAAAGTAAACCCCCCCTTCCCCACCACCACCACCACCACCAAGAGTTAGAGTCAGATACTTTTACTTCTTGTTATTAACATTATAATCAAGATTTTGAACGCATACCGTAATAACAATATCATCAGCAGTGTCACATGTGTTGAGTTTTCGCACAAAAGTAAGAATGGTACCGGAAGCAGTTTCCTTGCCAGCGATTAGAAACCAGTCCTGTGATTGGTCGACTGTAGGAGGTGCATGCGCAGTAGTGTGATAATCCTTGAAAGACATTTTACATATATATTCTCTAAACTGAAAATAACCTATTAATAATATATTATCACAGATAATCGCGAACGAAATCGATATTTATTGATTTAACCTATTCCACATTATTAAACATAATACATTCTTTTTTAAATATCTTTATTACTATAATATTATAATGTCTGATTCAAAATGAGAAGCGTCGACACTTTTACTACAGTTTAGAACCTCAGACTTCATAACTAGCTACATCGCGTCTCAAAATTGCATACAAATAATCACATAGGGGAATAGCGTCTTCCAATTCAAATCTAGAATCAGATGCAATGGTACCCGAATGAAATTGACTTTATATTGTAGCTGTTTCGTCCTACTAAAACTCATCAGTAATATCAGGTGTCTATTGTATTGAAACTTCGAAATGTAACCGTTGAAATGGAAATAAATCACTTTGCTTTGAAAAGTTAATAAACAGATGGTCCGACCAATTACCTTCAACTAAATTAATGTTCATAACTTAAACATAAATTGGTTGCTTCCATGGGGAAAGACATCGTCTAAATTTAAACAGTCGTTCAAAATTATGCAGAAGTATTCTATGGTAACAATACAAATTTTGTTTGCTATAATCATGACATTCATCCGTTTCATTCCATCTAGCGCCATATATAAATTATCAACGCCATAAGTATAAGTTTAATAAAGTCTTACCAAACATCAAAAGTAACAGTCTTTGCTAAATTCCTTAGGATTACTGAATTATTTTAATATTATAAACAAGTGTTATAGATGTACCTTAAAGTAAGTTTGACCGTCCTTGACCCCGCCTACGATGACGTCAGCCGGGAACATCTTGCCGTTCAGGGAGAGTCCGAATCCAACATACCCGTGGGTGTTTACATGGGTCTCAAAGGTCACGTGAGTGTCGTTTGCTGTCCAAAATAGCCAGTAATCACCATTGGCATCCAACTGTACATAATGTTCAAAATGCCGGGTTGGCGTCGGCTTTGATATCTGAAATTTGAAATCTGATTTCCACATGCTACTCCGAAATGAAGTACAATATATCAACTTTTATTTTGATTAAATGCGATCCGCAGCTCTCAACACATGCACTTATCTCGCATTCATTGGGGCGCCGTCCGTAACACATGCACTTATCTCGTATTCATTGGGGCGCCGTCCGTAACACATGCACTTATCTCGCATTCATTGGGGCGCCGTCCGTAACACATGTCCTCATCCGTTGATCAACATATGTGCCGTTTGAATAATTACATATACCATATCTAATGATATGCCACGTGGTTTCATAACATTTTGTTGTCATAGTTTTGTTTCATTTCGCCAATGATTTTATTTTAAAATCTTTCACTTACATTGCATTCAAAATGGCGAACAGATTTCTCGCTTTTCTACATGTGTATCATTGGTCTGTCCACGCCAACAGACTATGTTTACAAACAGTAGTTACTTGATAAATATTCACACAAAAAAAAAACCTGGAAAAATGCATGATTTTTCTATCTCGCCCCATCTGTCTAGTACTTTTACATGAGTTTTCGTAGAATTTTTACGCATCTGTGTATTCATCCGCGTGTAGGCGTAGATGACACCTACACACTTGTATTTCAACTAAAACGTAGGTTATGGCGTTGTTAAAATTTCAATGATTAATTTATTTAATTAATCATACTGAAAATAAAATAGAAAATATTCACTTTAAAATGTGTTGTATTTTTGTAAGTGCAGCCTGCATTGTTTACGCGGCACTGTCCGAACGCTGTTTAAAAACGAAGAGGCTGTGTGGATAGTTTGAGGCTCCCACGGGATAAGCTAAACTCTGATGAAATATTGCATAAGTTTCATAGCAGGTACGAAAAAAGGTGTAACATCCTAACCTCGGCTAACGCCGATGTTACAGGATCTTAGTTATACTCTATTATAGGTAACAGATCTAATGAATCTGTAAGACTCTATAAAATGCAACATGATAACACTAAAATCTATTATTGTTGTGACATCAGGTGTCAGTTAACTCGCCCAGTTGAGTTTCTCTTGAAACAACATTCACATAAATAATGCCTTTCAATTTCTATGCCTTATCGATGTTGCTTTTTTCGAACCCTGTGTGCTAAATATTGGTATGAAGAATCGAATTTCACTATAAAATTGATTGGGGAAATTTTTTTTCATTAAATACACCAAGGAAAAAATACGGCTAACTTGAAACCCAGCGATCAAACTATTCTTTTCTTACATACATGTAATATCAAGAAAAATATTTCTTTATTCTTTAGAAAGGATAAACATACCACGTTTTATCGCCTCGTGCAATTAGGCAATGAAGATATCAGGTACAGTTCTAACGATGCACAGGACAGCACAGTCAGTATCAACTTCATACTTACTTAGTTCTACGTATTTTGACAGAAAAAGGTAGTCCTAATTAATTAATGCACATTTGTAAAAAAAAATCAAAATAGCTGTAAATTAACCGTGAATTTCGTTGGTGGCCCAATCATTCGAGTACATTGTAGTCATAGGATCCTAGTCAAGGACATCAAACACGAAACAAGCAATATTTATAACACGTCGGCTTGGCTTGGGAATACACACCTACTGCATAAATCCTAATCTTTGTGAATTTTTGACAACCTTTCTAATATCAAAAGTCAGGCAATCTGGATATCTTGGGTCCATTATGTTGTGTTTTAGGTAAGAATACACCCAGCGGTACCGGACAACGAATAATGTAAATCATACCGACATTATGCTAAATAAGTTTTATAATCAATGTACTTCGAAACCGAATCATGAATCATATTATGATAAGTTTGCATATCAAAGCTATTGGGAAATCTCCATACTTCTTATCTGAGTTTACAACTTCACCTGTCACCTATCTCTTTGTACATTTATACGACGTTAAGGACACGCGAGGACATCTGAGTAGGAACTATACTTAACGACCCCGACTCGTCATTAAACAGTGAAAAATACAGATAGTTTGACCTATGTTCGCCAGTGTTTGTTAGTCTTCGATTGTTCATGAAGTATGAGCTTTTGTTTTCAAGCAGGTTACCTTGCAATGACTTATGATTTGAGCACTAAATATAGATTTATGATAATTGTCGTGTAAAGTGTTTGGTTACGTTTACATTTGACCAATGTTTGAAAGGGTTGTTAAATAGTACGACGTTTTCAGTGCACAGGCGATAAGGTTATCACAGCATTTTAGATTTGTAAATTTGTTGCGAAATATTTCAAAAGCATTTTTAATTCCTTATAAAATGGTCGTTTTTTTACACAAATGTTTTGTATTACAGAGAATGTTTAATAGGAAAAGAAAGCCTGTGATGTCAGTTTGCTATAGAGACACAATCATATGTGATATGAATATGTATTATCATTTTATATAAAGATCTATAATAAAGAGTTGCTAACATTGGCAGGCAAAGATTTGCAAAACAGCTCAGAAGAAAAAAAGGTTCAACATCATAGGGTTTCCATGATAGATGAAAACTTCGATATAATTAGCATTTTTTATATAGTTTAACTTTTTAAAAATCAATATATAGTATGGTTAACAATATTCTTTAAAATAATAAGCGCAATGTCATCCCAGAAGTTATACTGTTATTTTTTAATTCCAATTTAAACGTTTCTCGTTTCTTCCGGTATTACGATAACATTTATTAACTTATTTATTAAGAGCGAAGTAGTTTTAAATGAGACGAGGCCGCAGTGGTAAACACTCGCCTTTCACCGAGCCGCCCGGGGTTCGATTTCCGGAATGGATGTGAAAAAGTAAGGGGTCACCTGCCCGACCACGTTGGTGTTTCCCGGGTTCTCCGGGTACCCCCACCCCTACAATAAGACCCTTCGCGCGCTTCCAGCTGGGCCAACAAAAGTGATTAATATAAGCTGGAAGAATTCAATCAAACAAATGATATATAAAGTTAACAACATACTGGTATAAATTTCATATCTAATTGATTGTATTACCATATATGGTATTAAAACATTTTGTTTTCAATTTAATTTGAGGGCGCTAAACTGACCTGTTACCATTTCATCAAATGTTAAGCCAAGAAATACTCACAGGATTTACCGAATCTGATTCGTAGACCAAGCACAGGATCAGCAGTCCCACCAAAATGGTCTGATTAACGGAGACCATCTTGTCTCAATTCCCTTCAGCTATAAAATGCTATCAGATATGAAGAATACATTACGAAATCCATATCTAGGTAGAAAATGAGTCACCCAGTGGTGCAATAAAAGTGCGATAAGAAAAAGTAAACATTCCACAAATAACAGGTAAACGTTTAGATAACACTGTCATATTTAGTTTGAAAAGACACATAACCTAATTGATGGGTTCGACCCATTAAAGAGTCGTCTTCTGTATAAATTCTATGATTCGTTACTTTTGATAATGAAACCCACACAGTATGTAATAGTTTCGCTTCATATGTGGACATCTTCCTTCGAAGGAAAGGTAGGTATTAGTGAGAGAAGTGCACAAGCTCTAGAAAACTGGTACAAAAGACAAACAAATGACTAACACATTTAAAATTCAGATTACAAATACAAATTAGTTAGATACAGTCAAGGCACTGATGACAAGGTCCTAACGCCTGAAGCCTAAGAGGCCACTGAGGAAAACCAGGCAGGACCTAAAGCTTAAAGCCTGAGGAAAACCCAAAGTAATCAGAAGGAAAGTCACAATCTTGACAGGAAGACGTGCAGAAGCCCCATAATTGAACATGTATCGTAAATTTCATATCTGATCATTTAAGAACAACGTCAAGTACATGTGTATATACTAAACCGTGCCACTATTTAAATGAATTAAAAGGTGACATGCACGTTACGGCAAACCTCTGGGACTTGAAGTCACGATCAGTGTCTACTACTTGCTATCTGAAAAATAGTACAAGAGGCACACAAACGAATATCACTTTTTAATACATATTTAGAGGCTGCTACAGTAGGGCTAAAGATTGACTTATGCTGCACCATACAGCTGTTTCATCCTTCAAGAAGTCGAATGTTCGAAGTCGAGGAGGCGATTGAGGAAAGTCCAAAGTGATCGGCAGAAAGTCAAAATGTAGACAGGGAGTTGCAGTAGCACCATAATTAATTAAATTACGTTAGTTTTTATTTCAAATAACGATCAGATTGGTTGTGTGCATGGATAGGAAGGTACACGTCAAATCAAACACTGAATCTGAAAAGGAAAGAAGTCATATTAAGTACTTAACCTGTTTGATTTTGGATCTTCCTTATCTGTCGTGGTTGTGTCCATAGACAAGGCACTTGAACCCCATTACCTTACACTAACGCCTGTTTGGTGTCCAGAGGTATAACATACAGCTCTCTAAAGGTAATCCTACGTAAAATACTCTGCCTCCGTATGAAGGGGGCAAAGAAACAAAGGACGACCAAGGAGTGAGCTGATTTCTGATGCACACAATGATGTGAATACGTGAAAGGAGCGGTCTGATTTCTGATGAACACGATGATGTGAATACGTGAAAGGAGCGGTCTGATTTCTGATGAACACGATGATGTGAATACGTGAAAGGAGCGGTCTGATTTCTGATGAACACGATGATGTGAATACGTGAAAGGAGCGGTCTGATTTCTGATGCACACAATGATGTGAATACGTGAAAGGAGCGGTCTGATTTCTGATGAACACGATGATGTGAATACGTGAAAGGAGCGGTCTGATTTCTGATGCACACAATGATGTGAATACGTGAAAGGAGCGGTCTGATTTCTGATGCACACAATGATGTGAATACGTGAAAGGAGCGGTCTGATTTCTGATGCACACAATGATGTGAATACGTGAAAGGAGCGGTCTGATTTCTGATGAACACGATGATGTGAATACTTGTAAAGAGTGAACTGATTTCTGATGCAAACAATGATGTGAATACGTGGAAGGAGTGAACTGAGTCCTGATACACACAATGGTGTGCGGTATGAAATAAAGCAATGATTTGAATACCCAGAACCTGTTTAGCCTGCTGAGCTTGCAAGTGACATCTTTTCATAGTATATCATATGTTATAATGAATAAAAAAGGACCCACCTTATTCGATACCATTCTTTTGGAAAAGTTTTTGGCATTTCTATGTTTATCATTGAAATACATTACGATAATCCCATGGCAAGATCAGATATGTACCGAAACTTTCAACCTAGGTATTTTCCATACAGGTCGATGGCACCGTGTTTCATCTCAGGATCGTATGTACCCTGGGCTAATGGTGAAGGGGAACGTTTACTCTGCTATAGACCTTATATCAATATTATCATAATGCAAATTTTCATTTTTTTTTTTTTTTTTTTTCATTTTTTTAAAGAGACAGATACCTAGGGTTCCGGAAGAGTAAGCGTGTTCTGCTTTATCAACAACACAAGCCAAGCAAACGTTGGTCAGTTCGAGTACTTAATGTAACGTTACCAAACTGGAATTAGGTAGCATCAAATACGTTCAGATTCATATCACACAACGAAATAGAATATTTCCTTATGAAATCATTATGACGTTAGTAAAATCTTCATCAACCAGACATGGTGGACAGGTTCGGAATCCGGATCACTACGACATCGACACTCCGAACAAATGACGCCGGACTCTTCTTTATCGGTATGTTTGTGAGTTCAATGCATGTCAGTCCTCCAATGGAAACCGGCTCCCCAACCAATGCGATCTGTCATTCGAAACTTCTCTTAGAGGTGTGAATTTGTGTTGGCATAATGAAATAGAATATTTCTCAATGAGATCAATATGGCAACAACCAAACTTTCCATTAATTTTTATCAACCTGCATCTTATCAAACCTGGAGTGATGAGTTTGTCCATCAGTTGACGACTTCTTGAACGAAAAAGCGTGATATGGTCATGTAAACACCATATATTTGGGATGCAGGGATATTGCTATTCTGTCGTGTGTTTGATGTAGAGTTACAGCAGTGCCAAAACAATGAATTAAACTGCATCATACAGGTGGTTCGTTGTTCTAGGATTTTATTAGGTGCCTTGAATCTAATGTTTTACCTTCGTTGTACGTCGTTTGCAACAGATGAGCCGTTTACCCCGTGAAGATTCTTTGTCAGCACGGTTCCATTACTAACGTTGACTGTACAGTTATATCCAGAGTACAGCGTATGAATTCACTAAATACATAAAAATGTGTACGACCCTATCTCCGTGTCACAGACAAAATAGGCCCTCCATCGATTGGTACCAACCTTCACATTATTTACACCGGGACATAATTAGATTTAAAGTTCCCGAACTCAAAGACTGTACAAAAGACAAACAAGTGAACAACACCTTTAAATATAAATTTAGATTAAGATACGGTAGAGCCAAACTATGATTAAATCTGCTTCATACAGCTGTTTCGTCCCTCCGGAATCCGCCTAAATTATGAAGCCTAGAAGGCGACTATGGAAAATCCAAAATGATCAATAGAAGTCAAAATCTAGATTGTGAATGTAACCATAACTCAAAATCCTTCTACAATGAATCTAGGTATATAAAAATCTAAATCTAAATTTCATCCAAATCTGTCATTATCAAGGGAGTATAATTTTTCATAAAAAATGTTCACCTCATATAATGTATTACCTTTAATTTAATTCTACCCTCCCCGACACCTGGGGTTATTTTCCTAGCACTTAATATATATTAAGAAGCAATATCATTTGGAAGTTTCAAAACTCCTTTGACAATTTTGAAAGTATTTTTAAATTGTACTGATAAATCAAGATAATTTTATAACATTGAATAGTAATATTTAGAGTCTATCGAGGCCAGATTCTGAATGCATCAGGAGCCGGTTGAGGAACAGTATTTACTAGTGGGATCGTTAGAATCTTGTTTAATGCTACACTTTTATCTTTAAACCAAAATATAAATAAGGACATGAAATTTCCACACTTGAAACATGAATTTATTTCCATTGTATGAACAAAGTTACACAGAGCACAACAATAAAGTCCTTTTGACATGTTGCCAACGTCTGCCGTTCACGTTTAGGATCTTCGGCAGTGTCACTTTCATCCCACAACTGGCCCTGACAGGTGATGACATCTAGTGTCCTGTGGTTCTATATAGGGATGGATGGTTCCGTTTTCCCTTGTATTAAAGAAATACAGCAGCATTAAGATATTTAACGACGCGGTGATTGAAATATTAGTGATTAGATCGACAGATAAATTTTAGCGTGAGTTTCCTGAAACATTTGCCTATAAGTTACCGATTATATAATTTTAAAAATACGTAATTATTTATGATAACATAACGATAATATTTTGGATAATATTAATTAAGTATCGAGCGAAAACCTGATGGGTTAAATTCAGCAACAGCCGAAAAACGAAAGGACCATTGTGACGTCACATCCGGAAGAATCATAGTCTCAATATAGGATTGGCCACAGCGATAGGACGGTGGAGGACAAATGTAACCAGTTATTTTAGGAATGAGATAGTTATTCTTTAGAAATATCCTTGTTTACAAATGGTGTATGTAGTTCTGATGATCACTAATGTTCTTTGTTTCAGGGTTTTAGACTGAACTTACAGTCGTGACTGCAGTATCCCCTATGGAGAAGTGCGTATACATTGTGTTGTCTAGCGCCGTCTGAAACTTTTATTTTACATTTGCAACAGTCCAATCCCAAGTGTTTATCTTAGTAAAGAGGTTGGCAGGATTGTCCGTGAGGGTGTCGTAGATTGGAACACTTCTGCATATGTCAAGAGGCATGCGTGGATAGTACAAAATAAACGACTGGCACACCTCCTCTTCTGTAGATAGTCCATATATATATATATATCAGACTGACTTGACCCCAGTTCCACAAGGACATCAATTTCACTATACTGTTTATATATTAAAATTAGTATTGAACGCACTTTTTAAAGACAAGCTAGTTTTCTCTTTCTCTACTATATGATAAAAACACGATAAAATACAAGCAGAAATTCATACCCTTATCATGTGTCAGATAAATCAACTTGGGAATGTATCAAGCTTGTCACGATTTTAGATACAATAATCTTTCTTTTTTCTTTTTGTTTAACATAGGCTAGAAAAACCTGGAGAAATGCTTCATTCATTGATAAAACTCATTAAGCGGAAACACATGTTAGATCCAACAAAACTACTTCATCAAATTAGTTTTACTTACCAATATTACGCTTGTTTTCTAACTGTAACCGTAAATACAATTAACCCCCAGTTTGTCAGTCTTAAACAACATACAAAAAGTCATTAAATTTATCAAACGGCATTAAAGAAAGCTTAGTCTATTAAAATGTAATATTTGCTACATGTATTTATTATAGGTTTTAATGAGATGGTAAAGATAAAGAAATTAATGTATTTAGTCAATGGATATGAATTTTCGATTTGAACCGAGAACGGAGAAACAGAATGAACTTGGAATATTAATTATGCATAATGTTAACGTAATGCTACTTTCACATTGATAAGTGTTACCCACTGTCAACAAAGCATAAAACAGGCAAACTCTGACCTAAAGATAATAAGTATATGAACAGTTTTAATCGTCATTTACCGGATAAATCATTTTCTCTCCGGAAAGGTAACGCATGTCCTGATAATAACAAGCATAATTCTGATCTGCAGCCAGAGGTTTCTCTCTGCCCAAAAGATGGGAATGTTGAAAAATCGCAAATGCGTGTATGCCCTCGGCTGGTACCCCATGAAATTACAATATAATATATAATTTGTATATCAAATACATAACTTGAGTGAAATTAATACCATATACAACAAGAACGAGTTTCTTACCGGTTTCTGTAACAAGAAAAAAATATAAACACGGAAAGTGTTGACCTTGTTTACAAACTTTGGTTGCAGTTCAATGATAAGACCTGTAGTAAAATGCCGCCAATCAATATTCAAATTCACTATTCCAGAATTAGTTTTGGAAACATTATAACTTATAACATGAAATTAACAAATATAGTAGTCCATTATAAGTCCATTTTACGGTAGAAATATGTATGAAAATTAGACGATAACAATGTAGAACTATTTTATTCCGCGCTTGAATTTCTGTGAGTGCGTGAAACGCCATTTCCGTCAAAGATATTCATGTCAGCCAATCGGAACACGCGAAATTGTTAAACCATGCGTGGTATAACATATATGTTTATACAACAGTTGGAATAATTATGTGATGCCTTGAGAGTTGAATGACACCAACCCATTGTGGTAGAAATACTATATCTATCATATAATTGTTCAGGCTGATGTTGCCAACGACCAAGTCGGTTGAATTTATTTAAGAATTCAATTCATGTGTTTCAATATAGCACATCTACGTCATGTTAACCTACTTTTCCGAGTAGTTCCGAAGGACAAAATGCTTTGGAGACCAAAGCTGTTTGCATAGGTGGAATAAATTGCATGGCGGACACGCCCATTGCAATAGTAAGGAGTCCGGCGTCATATTTCCGGACGGTTGTTGTCATGGTGATACGGATACCGGAACTGTCCACAATATCTGTAGATATAAAGGCATGTATTGAAGAATGGAAGAATGAAAACGTAAATCACTGACTTAACTTAAATAGATTGGAGTTCTGTTTTATTGTTTGTTTGTAGGTTTTGATGTTTGATTTGTGTTTATGTCCATGTACATTTCGATGCTAACATTAGAAATTGCTTTGAACTTTCACTTGTTACTTGCCTGACTTTACCTGGGGATTGTCGTAATGTGTATGCATTACGAAAAAGTCCGCGTCATGGTCAGTTCCGAGGGAATATCCGGCTTCAGGAGGGTAATAAAATGACTGTAAACAAAAATAAATAATTAATTGACACGAATGGAAATTTCTCATAACATAAGTGGTTAACATTAAGTATTCGTCACCTTGGATGATAGTCTTTAAAGGGATAAGCCTTGTTCGTCCGCTTTCCGGACGTAAATTGGCGAGCAAACTCAACCTTTTTCAATAATTTATTTTAATAGAGTAACGAGAAAGAATTAAACCACAGCATTGTTTATACATCAGTCCTGAACCAGTTACTAACCTACTGTTTTCTCTAACATCAGTAAACCTGGTATTTTTTTTATGTCTGGCGAGTGTCCAAACAGGACTATTTGTATACCTCTCCTCCGATGGCCCAGGCGATAACTGCATTAGTCGGACAACCTCGAAAGGGTTCCGGTGCAGTGTTACTCTTATTGCATCGGAACACGGTGCGTCATAAGAGCCCAGTTCAGCACCACGCTTGTTACATTTGTAGACACCGATGTGATGCACGTTCAGTTCGTTTCCAGGCGACACAATTGGTTTATACTAAATTTTAAAAGTGAAAAATACATTGATCTTTATTCGATAGGACGTCTTATTCACAAATCAAACATTTTGATTTTAAACTTCAAGTTTATCAATATAAAATTTAAGGAATATATCAGATCAAACATAGCAATACATGTGACGTAAGAAAGTTTGTCATGTGATATCGAAAGTGTACCTTGATCATATGATGTTTGGAGGTAAGGTTTGCCAACGAGAAGCCTCGACACGAATAAGTCGTGGTGTCTGAAGGGACTTTGTACTGAAGGATAGAGATAAAAAAATATTGCTATATATATTTTTTATTTTGAAATTTGGCATGTTTTCCACAAAAGCGTTTTGTACGTTCCTTCCTAATTTTCACGGTAATAGACAATTGTGATAAAAATTTACAAATCTTTAGGTACTTTTATTTTAAGGTCTAATGGAAGAATAATTTCCATTTTCACAACAAATTAAAAAATATTATCAGTTACAGAATCAGATGAAATGGACATTAAAATAAAACAAACAAAAACATTTTTAAAAAATAACATTATAACACTCAACAAAAACAAAGTCATGGATGGTTTCGGTCTGTTATCCAGCAGACCTCTTTATATAATAATAAGATTTTTTTGTTTTCTATTCACATATTGCTTCTTTAAGATATTTCTAAGTCTTTATTACTTGTACGGTGCAAATGTACCTATATATTTAACAAGGTCACATAACAAATACATTGTAGCTGTACTGCCTTTTTCTACATACGTTTCAGTGTCCAAATGAAATTAAATATTTCATTAATTAATCACATTATTGATATAATTGTGACTAGTTTTTAACTTTGTTTAAACAAAAAATCAAGATCTAGAAACTAATTTTGAAGCTTAAGTAAGAACACTGAAAAGTCAGGGTCTTATTTTGTTTAATTTACTCTATTTTTTGTTGAGAATACAATAAAATCGAAAAAAATATTAATTAAATTAGTAGAGAAGCCAATAGTAAGTCTTATGTCTTTCTGCTTTGATCTTTTGGTAAAATCTCGAAAATTTGGCACATTGATTACAAAAACTAATAAGATCAAACCAATTCTTATAGGCGTAAACACTGACATATTATATTTGTCCATGACATATAACCTGTACCTTACTTCTGTAAAGAAATAAACACTTTGATATTACATTGTCATGAAGAAAATCGTGCGTGACTATGTCGCTTGGGAAGTTGACATCATCAGCTGTCAGTGAAGACGACAACAACATGACGCTCTTTGCTCCCCTCCTTGTGGCGCCATGGTACGGGATACCACCCGTGACGTCATCAGGATGGTAGGAGAAGATAATTCGGGAGGTGTCTCTCTGAAATCATGAAATGTCAGTAAAGAGAAGTAAATACTCGGAATATGAAAACTTATTGTCAATAGAAAATAAAGTTTCAATTATCTTCATTAATGCAACTTTTAAATTTATCGAGGTTAGAAGATGATTCTATTTCTGCCAATAATATTCCTACATCCAAAACTTGTAGTATTTTCTTGTTGCAGTCGATTTTACACTCAGGGGCGTGTTCTTTGCATGACGAATTGTTTTCCAATATGTCGTGCTTCGAGATGATCCAGGTTGATAACAAAGATTTAGATATCATCATAATGATCTCATTTGGCAACTTTCTAATTCCTTATGCGATATGAAATAAGGCGTGTTTGATTGTCGTAAGTAAAGGTGTGAATCCAATGTTAGTTACCGTTTTCTCATTTGAGAACGTTCGATTACATGTTTGGACTGAAAATATTTCGAAAATACCAACATGTCAACATAATTACAAAAAAAAATAAACAAGTAAAACGCAGATTTTTATATCTACATCAAAATATACATGTGTTCAACACGTACCGTAATAATCATATCATCAACACTGTCACATGTGTCGAGTTTGCGCACAAAGGTAAGGACGGTACCGGAAGCAGTTTCCTTGCCAGAGATGAGGTACCAATCGTGAGATTGGTCAACTATCGGCGGTGCATGTCCGACAGTGTGATAATCCTTTTGAAATGGATTAGATTAGATTTATCAACGTTATTTATGTATCTAGTGCGTTAAAACGTTGCATCTAGCTAACACAAGGTTGCATTGGTTACAAGTCAGAGTTGAAATTTGTACTAACAAATGTATGTAAACAACACGTTTCATTGTATTTAGAACTGGAACCAACAGAGGCTATTAAATATAACATAAAAAAAAAACATCTTTTATGAAAATCACGTGACCATGAAGGGTTTAATTTCAAGTGCCCAGTTAAAATGATTTTATCTAAAGTATATGTCACATGTCAGTAAATATATTACGCTAGCACAATTTTCAGAACCTTTCAAATTTTTAAACGTGAGTTTACAATTAAGTATGAACAAGTCACTTAAGTGTTCATTTTGCGAATTACTTACATCAAAATTTTCAGATATGAAGTACAGATTTTTGCAACAAATATTCTCTTTAAAAAATCTTGTCCTCTTTTTTCTATAATTTCCTAACCTAACTGTAGTTTATTCTTTTTATTACACGTTTCTCTCTCCTACATTTTCGTCCGTGACCAAAAAGAGCAGATTTAAGATGTAACACTTGTTACTATTTTATACATCCTCAGAAGGTGAAATATGACAGTGAAACAAATTTGTTAACAATGGTCCAAGGGTGGAAATAACCCTGCGGTGAAAATAACCCTGCGGCGAAAATAACCCTGCGGCGAAAATATCCAGGTTTACAGTAAAACCACCCAAATCCGCGCCGCTCTCGCTTTGCATATTTGTTTATCAACACTACTATTAAGATGATGAATAAGTTAAAGATGTTGCTTCACCATACAAACATCAAATGAGTTCGAATGCGCTCCAATCATGCCTTGGACCTTTGTTAATAGAAAAGATGTTGATACCTTTAGGATTGACCGTCCTTGGCCCCACCTACAATAACGTCAGCCGGGAACATCTTGCCGTTCGGAGACAGTCCGAATCCAATATACCCTTGCGTGTTCAAAAGTCACGTGGGTGTCGTTAGCTGTCCAAAATAGCCAATACTTACCAGTAGCATTAAGTTGATGTTACACCATACAGTCGGTTCGTCCTTCTAAGGCTCGTCAGTGATGTTACACCATACAGTCGGTTCGTCCTTCTAGGGCTCGTCAGTGATGTTACACCATACAGTCGGTTCGCCCTTCTAGGACTCGTCAGTGATGTTACACCATACAGTCGGTTCGTCCTTCTAGGGCTCGTCAGTGATGTTACACCATACAGTCGGTTCGCCCTTCTAGGGCTCGTCAGTGATGTTAAGGGCCTTAATTTTGAAGTCTGAGAGGCAACTTAGAAAAAAGTCAAAATCTAGATGGGGAGGTGTAGCTGCCCAATGATTAAATAAATTTTGTTATTTTCATTTGTCAGATAATTTTTTAATAACGTCAAGTAAATGCGCATTTTCTGGACGGTACGACTATTCATGTGAATGAAAACGTTGCATGCAGGTAACGGCAAATCCCGATGACATCATCATTATCTTCCGCCTGCTTTATAGATTGAAATAACAGAGTGGCCATGGTGAGGCAAATCGTGTGATACAGACAGCTTTCATATGGTCTAGAATTTCGCATGCATACATTTTTCTTTTTAGCCATGGGGTTTATATATGTACATTTCACAAAATTCCAACAATCCGCTTTTGTATAACAAATTGTGTTTTCATTCGAAATTTAAAAAAAAGAAACATCTCCTCTATTATTATATATGTAAATCTGTTTCCGTTTCTGGAAACTCCATATGTAGAATTTGGAAGCAAACGCCTGCCAAATGATGGATAAGTTATCACTTTGAGCGTACATGCACTTCTTGGCTATGTTAAACATCACTTTGTGTGTTCTAAGTCATGTGTACACTTCCTACATTCTCTTCCAGTCATGTAAGCTTTCTATAAGATCATATATCAGAGCTTGAAGAGACAACATTTCATTATTTTGACTTTTTTCTTTTTCGCCAGCATATACCGATACATTTACAAATCTGCGCTCTCTCGATATTTTGTGGTTTTTGCCTTCACTAGTGTCAACTCTTCGACAAAAGTTCTTTCTATTTTTAAAAGCTGTGAATGAGTTGATCATTCAAATGTTGACAATGAACAACGACTAACATAACTGAACTATTTACTTTCCAACTGTAGCTTTCACATGGCATAAAGCAAGACAAGAACAGCAGCATTACTATAATTGTATTTTGTCACGACTCTAACTTTCCATGCAAAGTTGATATAGCACTTTTAATGTCCTTTTAAACATTAAGTATTCGACTAACGTGAGTTCAAATGTTGTTTAAAGTTGGGCGGGGTTCGACGAAAAGCTTCGAACTATACGGGGCCTTCGAGTGATACGAGATCGAGATAACGAGATTCGACTGTACGTTTATGTTATATTGAAGACATAGATTATTGTAACGTGGGAGAATTGAATGGTTTACTGTTTATATTGTTTAGTGTTTTTAGAAATTTGTATGAAATGTTATCGTCTGAATGATTTTCAAACAATTATAAGCACAAGCTTCATAAAATATATTTCCGATTAAAAGACTTGCGTAAAGGATATTAAGACATTTCAAGACACTTCAAAAATGTACCCATCATGACATGTCTTTACTTTGGAACGTTCCAATGTCGTTTCTGATCAATTACGAACGAGAATACCATATAGTTTGATTTTGTTTTAAATAGCTTACTATCCTATCGTAACAGCTGTATGATGCAGTAGCAATCTGCATTTGGCTTTACTGTATCTAATCATTTATTTTTATTTTTATAAAGACGTTATTCACTTGTGTGTCTTTTGCACAATCTACGGTGGTCGGTCATTTAAAGGATTGTTCTTTAAAGCACTTCATTTAAGCGAGTATTTAATTTCGCGAAAGGTAAGCGACTGTCTACTATATCCATGAAGGTTTTCAAATCGTGTTGCTGCTCGCGAATAAACACGAAATATAATCCCTCGCGAAAAAAAGTGATGAGCAGTACGTGAGACGCTCAATAGAAAAAATATTTTGGACAATGTAGCTTTCTTTTAGTTAATAGTTTGTATATACTACTCACAATTTGATAGGAATCACACCTAATAATTAGCAAAATTTTCTTTAAAATAAAATGATACCTATTCCTTATATTTGTTGGTTTATATCTTTACCGAGGTCTATGTGTATCGAGTGTTTATGTGGTCAGTCACCCGTAACGCCTGCACTTCACGTGTACACGCACGAGCCTCCTACGTGCAGATTGTCATCAATACGGTTTTGGCAGAATATCTCGCTTTTTGCTTTACATTTTGAATTTTAATGGTTTCAAAATGCCCCGACAGCAGGCTAGAAGACGTCTAAGCACTTCAGATATGGACAGGGGCATTGGTATGATCCAGTCTGGTAGGTCACAAAGGGAGGTGGCCAATGACCTTGGTGTGTCCCGCATGTGGAATCGTTACCAAAATTATGGAACTCTCTCCAGAAGACATGGTGGGGGTCGGGAACGACTTACCTCGCAGCGTCAAGACCGCTATCTTGTTATTGCAGCTCGACGTCAAAGGTTCATCAACGTTACGTCACTACGTAATGACTTCCAGAATGCCACCGGAACTCGTATCTCCACACAAACTGTGAGAAATAGACTTCATGATACTGGTTTAAGGTCGAGCAGACCTGCTTTGAGAATTCCTTTGACGTTACGACATGTTTAAGCTAGACTTGCTTGGGTTCGTGATCATGTGAATTAGAACCTCCATGACTGGTCCCCCGTACTTTTTACAGACGAGTCTAGATTTTGCTTAGATTTCACTGACCGACGTGCCAGGGTGTGGCGACTACCAAATGAGAGGTTCCATGCCGCTAACGTTTCTCAACATGACCGATACGATGGTGGATCTGTTATGGTTTGGGGTGGCATTAGCATGCAAGGCAAGACCGACCTTCATGTGTTCCTTAATGGCAGTTTGACTGCACAAAGGTACTGTGACGAAGTCCTGGACTTGTACGTCAGGCCTTATGCTGGTGCTATAGGTCCGGAATTCATTTTTATGGATGATAATGCGCGATCACACAGAACTCGTGTGACTGAACAGTATCTGGAAAGAGAAACATTTGAGAGGATGGACTGGCCAGCCCAATCTCCATATCTCAATCCAATAGAACACGTGTGGGAAACATGCTTCAGAAAGCTGTTTCGGCGAGAAACATCCAACCTAGAACGCTTCAGGAACTTCAAGCAGCTCTCGTCGCTGAATGGACAAGTATTCCCCAAAACCGGATACGAGACTTGATCAGAAGCATTCGCCGCCGCTGCCAGAGCGTAATTGATGCTCGAGGACGTTATACTCGATACTAACACTGTATTTGTTTCGTAGCACTTAATTTTTCCCTCCTTTTGTCGTAATATGCGATTTTTGGGGTATCTGTGTACAATGAGCATTGAAGCACATTAATACTGTTATTCTACGCTTGGTGATGTTAAATCGTCATCTTATAATGCCGAAATATGTATAAATTGAACTGTAGAATATATTCTTAAAATAGATACCGTTACACATTAAAGACCCAATCTACGTAAAAATCACTATAAAAAAACCAAACTTTCTCTTATTTTCCCCGTAATATATGTAGCAAAACAAATACTTTCCTTTAATTAATGAAAATAAAACTGACTGTTTTCAATTTAAATAAAAATTGAAAAAATCGGAAAATAAACAATGTGGGACCCACAATAATTCATACATTACCTCTCGTAGCGATGACATTGCGCATGCGCATATTCCGCGTGTGTAAACATGGCAGACACAGTACCGACGTCCACCAGTCGCTTCCTTTTTTCCAATCATACATCAGGCCGGTTCTGAATTCTTACGTTATAATTGTGCGTCGTATCGTTTCTAAACTAATTATTCCTTCTAATAATTTCCCAAAAACTGAATGTTTAACACAGGAATACATCAAGTCTACGACAAGAATTCGCAAACAATGTTTGTAAACAAAAACTTACCGTAGACATATCTGCATGTGCTTCCTCTATAAGTAGAAACCTCAACTCTCGCGAGATCAGGTCATGAACTCTGACGTGGTTCGGTAACGATCGTAATTTCGATGGCGGCGTGTTTAAAATGGAGGTGTGTTTACAAATAGCGAGTTTCAACTGCTCATATATCAATACATTATGCACAAAGTCATGGTAACTATTGTTTGAATAACCTAATTTTAACTACATCTTAGAGAATATCTCAATAATTGTGTGTGATTCTACACTAAATTTTTGGTGAATGTTACGTATATTGGGGCTTTAAATAAAAAAGTTATCCCAATCAAACTATGAGTAGTATATATCTCCCAATACCAAAACTTCCTTTTGACCTAGAAGAGATTTGTCATTTTCACCTTAATAGAATTTTTCTAAGTTAAGTCAAACAAAATGATACCAATGGTATGTAGTGTATACCTTTGTTAAAGACTGTGGTTTTAGAATTAGATGTTAGCCAGTTACACGTTACATATTTTTCCGGTACTGTCATAGGTGTTTAATTCATACAGAATCCACGGGAGCGGGTGTATTAATCGTGTTTTGATTATGATGGACCATTCCAAGCCGTAGTAGTTTGCCCAAGTTGTGCTCTGTTGATTAAAGGACTTTAATCAAAATGGCCGACAGGTGGTCATTTTGGACTTCGATAACGAAAGTTTGTTTTCTGAGAAAAACATGATTTTTTTTAATGTTTCCTTTTTAATTTTATATAAAAGTTCCCTGTGGTCCATTAGTTGTGCCCTTTTGATTTTCAGAAAAACAAAATGGCCGAAATATGACCATCTTGAATTTGGTAGTTAAATCATATCATAATGTCTTTTTATAATATGTGGATTTGTAACAAATACTCACTTCGATGGTGACAATAACATTAAAGATATCAGTGCCTGAAATCTGGAGACAATATTATAATGACATCTATAGCCTAATACTCGTGTAATACAGACGAACTGATTTGTGAACCTAATATATAAAAAGGTATGACACTACAGTAACTCAATGCCAAAC